GCGTCGTGTTTTGCAGAAGCCAGAATGAAAGCAGAAAACGCTTCATTATCCGCTTCTTTCGCACTCCGTGATCAAGCTTCACGCATGTATAGTTCCTTTATTACGAATATGGAACCACTTTCGAACTGTTTGTCAAGATTTCTAACCTAACCTAACCTAACCTCATTGCGTCGTGTTTTGCAGAAGCCAGAATGAAAACAGAAAACGCTTCGTTATCCGCTTCTTTCGCACTCCGTGATCAAGCTTCACGCATGTATAGTTCCTTTATTACGAATATGGAACCACTTTCGAACTGTTTGTCAAGATTTCTACCCTAACCTAACCTAACCTCACTGCGTCGTGTTTTGCAAAAGCAAGAATGAACGGCAGCGTTAATTTCGAAGCAGAAAACGCTTCATTATCCTCCGCCTTAATCCGTCGAACTGCAAAACAGTTGGACAGGCTGCTTAATTGTTGGGAAAGACGCTTAATACCAGGATTACGCGGTTTTGAACGTAACGCGTGGATTTGGAAGTAGCAAGACTTCCAGTGTATCATTACAGGCAACTTTGGGTACTGCACTTTGGTGTTAGTTAAGTATCTTCCTGGGAACAGCGAAGAAAATAGATATTTGCTGCAGCATCCTCGGGAGCGATAGAAATGTTAGCCGTGTTCCCTAACCTCTTTATAACGAGGCAAGAAACATCGATACGCTGCTAGGATACACGTAGCCAGACGATATTAAAGGAAAAAGCAGACGGGAAATTAAAACACGGTACACGTGCTGTTCCTTTGTCTTTCGTGAGAAGAGAGCGGGACGAGAGGTGTAGACAGCTGCCTACCCCGTTGGGATGAGTCGATGGGGTGGGCGGATGCTGGAGGAGACTTGTATCGCTCTCCAGAGGGTGTACGTCGGTGTGCGCGCACGGAAAATCACCGACCACACTGTTCGTCGCATGGAAACGAGAGAAATCTGAATAGATCCAGCCTCGTGTGCTTCTTATGAACAGCACACCGTGGATTATTCGGGGCGCGTTGCGTTTCAGACACCGGCGGGCTAAGTCCCACCTTTCAAATGCAATGCAAAGTGGCTTAGCGATTTTCAAAGCTCGCTACGGGAGTGAACCGAGCTGTTTTGGGATGAAGATTTCAGTTATACGAAAAATATCCGTGGCTTGTTTTTGGCTTCGAACTGATTATCATAAGTTCCAGATTGGGGTATTTATATATTCTGAGTATTGCAACCAATTAGACAAATGATGTAGGATTGGGTACCCTAGGTGGTCAAACATATGACTGGTACCACAGATGATCAGACAAGGAGTAGCCTTGGTCCAGGTATCCTAAGTGATCAGATAAGTAACGTATGGTCCAAATACAACAAATGGTCAGACAAGTAATGTATGGCCCCAAGTATGATTTATGGACACCAAGTCCCACCACTGAGAAGAATTCACTGTACCACTACATAACTTTCAAATGCAATTCAAAGTAGCTTGCTTTTTCGATCCGTGTAGAAATGAGAATTTGCGTTATCGTACGAGAAATACACGTGACGTGTTTTTGGCCAGGAGCTGATTACCATAAGCTCCAAACAGCGATATTTATGTGGGGACACTTGAGCGTAACAGGAAGTGAATTTACAACAGACATGCATACATTCATCAATTTAAGAGAATTTTATTCAAATACTATAGGGCAGACCTGGGGAACATCTCCCCCACCGTCGTTGCACTGCTCCCGCCATTACTGAGGCGGTTCCCCTAACAGACCAGTCCCTGCGTGGCGCCTGAACGGCGGGACCTACAATGGGAGCTAGTATAGTAGGAGGAGCGCAGTGGATGGAGATTAGAGACCGCCTGGCTCCCGGGCCACCAGTTTCCTCGGCCTATTGCAGGCTACCAGATAGCCTGGGTGATCAAACAAAAAGAATATGACGCAAAATAAGTGGTTAGGCAAGTTAGGTCACAGGCTGACAGGCCTCATTCTTCCTCGCCAGTTGCTAAGTCCCTATGCCAGGCCTGTCCAAGTAGGGGAATCCACTCCTGGAACACATGCTTTGGGTCCCCTTCCAACGCTGCTCCTTCAAGTAAGCTGGGACGGTTCCGACTACCAAAGACGGTAGGAAAGACGGAGAGGCGGTAGTCGGAACCGTCCCACCTTACTTGAAGGAGCAGCGTTGGAAGGGGACCAAACACATGTGTTCCAGGAGTAATTTCCCCTACTTGGACAGGCCTGCCCTATGCGACCCTAACCTTATTGGCTACAGAAGACGACTGGGAGTAGAATAAGTGCTTCAATGAGCACGAGGCACTCCTAAATAGAATGATGGCAATACGTGATCAGGCAAGTAGAAAAAGTAAAAACAATATGAAATAAATATTTTATTTTCCATTTATATAGTTGTATAGGTATTGATTTTCTTTGATATGTTATTTATTGAACGATCTTTTCTATCAAATAACAGGAGAATTACAATATAGCAGGGGTGAAATAAAAAATATTTCGCCTTTGGAGAAGTTTTGTATGCAAATAACGTAGGAACAGGTTTTCGGTTCCCAGGTTTACATTTCAAAGCAATCGAAACGACGAAATTCGGTAGCTGGCTGAAATGAAATTCTACTGAAAGCCGCGGTACATCCTGCGTCCCAGTTTTCATTTTCCAACAAATCCTTCCTGTTTTATCGAATACTTTTCCTGTCCTGTAAATCCACCCTACTCAAAGTTGTATACAGGAAAATTGAAACCGTCATAGATCGTTCGGTATCGTATCGGAAATATGTTACTCCTGCTTTTCGAAGCAATCGGCAATTCAATTAATCGTAACGGAACATTAACTTTTATCAACTCCCATTATACCTCGATGTTACTTTGCCAGGAGAAACGGATATTTACGAGGCACAGGGTGATTCTAGCCTCGAGATTAGTGGTTCACTAGCTCCGTTGCGGTTACTACCCCATTAAACCTTTGCCTTTTATAGTTTTCACGATCGTTCAGAGCATCATGCTTCGGGATTAGTTATTCGAGCCACGAAGACCATAGACTTTACCACTTCCTATACCCCGACCTCGAAATAATCGCGTTTCCCTGAAGGAGCCCGACCTTCCGGAAGTATTAACTTTGAGTACTTCGTGCAGCAGGTTGTAAAAAATTCTTCAACATCTTAATAGCTAAATTTGACCCCCATTATTTTACCCATAATTCATCTTCCATGCACTGCTATAATATTTCTATTAATTTTTTAAGTTTGCCTAACTTAGACCCTCTGGGATAGGTCAAGTCCCATAAAAATTTTGAAAATCTAAAATTTTGTCATTTTTAATGTTATAGAATCTTTAAATTTAAAAATGATCAAGGTCTACATTTTTGGGGAAGGTCAGGCCGACCTTGTTTCTTAACTAATTACTCCAACCTTTTTGCTTCTCAAACGACCTTGTCACTTTGTTTAACGAAACATTTCTTAAGGGGTACGTTTAGCCAGGTTTTGCAGCGACGATTTAACTAGCCATCTGCCTGAGATTTAGCCAAATGCTCAGCATCAATCTAATTAAACATCGCCATCAAGGTGTCGTCTCGTTGTCTGAAAGCCAACGTAAGATTAACTGGAAGCTACAGAGCAGTTCGCGCCAGCTTTTCGGGATTAATTTTGCTAGGGAAAAAATTCGTCCAAGGTGTTTGTATCCTATCTCGGGAATTGCAAGGATCAAGGAAGACCGGAGGATCCTCGAACTGAATCAAAAATTGAAAACAGAAACGTTGTGTTCGAAAAATTTCTGATTCCAATAATTTTCATTCTCTAGGAAACGTCGTTGTATTGTAATCTTTGTAAATCATTATTTTATCAATAGATTAATATAACACTAGATCAAAGTGATCCAGGATAGCCGTTAGTTATGGTGTTGATCAAAGCGAGTGCAACACCTATTACTTTCGACTGAAGTAATTGGTTCAAGTTTCTCAGAATCATCTGGTAAAGGCTTTCAAGGATGACGATAATCTAAGCTGGTGTTCAAAGGATCAATTATCTTGTATTACGAAATTTATGGACGTACTATCTCTAAAAGGCAACAATTTCGGAAGAAAATTTCGTTTCGTAGAATTCATAATTCAGGCGAAACGACGTTGTTCTGTGGAGAGTTAAAGGGGTGAGGGTTAATTCAGGAGGAGTGCCATAAACGAGGGAGAAACTTTGGATTTTATAAGGAATTAAACGTTTCCAAGATGGTTGGAATACAGAAATTCACTAGTAACTTTTCCAAGAAGAAGTTTACTGTATTAATCAATGTTTTATTAACAAGAAACCAGGGGACTCATCAGTTAAGAGAGGCAACCGCGTTAAAAGTAAAGCTGCCAGCTAAAGGGAATTAATTAAACAGGTTCGAAATTAATAAACAGAGGTGTAAAGTAATTAAATATTGTATAAATAGACGATGTTTCTTAATCAAGGGATAAACAAGAATTATATTGTAATCATGTTCATCTTTTAATTTAATTAGTACAAAATAGAGGAGGATACGAATGTTATAGATTTCATTCGTATTCCTGCTAATTTTACATTAGTTAATTAATGATAAACAGAGGTAAAGTAATTGAAGGTGGTCAAATAGAGGTATCCCTTTGTCAGACATAAAAAAAATTTTGTACAAATATTAGTATAAGCTCTTGATTTAATTATTCAAATTATGAAGATATTTTCTCTCAAAAGAAGCAGAGTATGTTTTACTCGAATGGCTTTGAAGTCATCCATTTGAAATCGATTAAACGGTACAAATTACATGTTGATTTCAGGCTTGATAATTGAACGCGTGAATCATATTGTTGTTAATTAAAGATATTTATCAAATGTGTGAATTTGAATACAGACTGGTGTACTACTCTGTCTGTATGTTCGTGTCTCTTTATTTTAATGAACATACTGTAGAAATTTCGTAACTATATCCAACTTCAATTTTCCACCATGATTAACTGTTTTCAACTTTATTATATGTAGTAACGTATTACAAATTTACGTACGCAACATACAAGAAATTCAATTTACGCCTCTCATCGTTCTCTGTACATGTATATTATGTTGTTTCATAACATAAATTTCCACATGGAATATTTCGCACGTGCAATTTTCCGTTTTAACAACTTTCACCTACATTATTTATCATTAGCCACACATCACCAGATTTTACTTTATTGGAAACATTTTAGTAATTTTCTAGTTTTTTAATCTGTTATATTTTGGTTATCTTTTATTCAGAATTGGTGAATTCAGTGGGGAAATCATTGAAATTATTTGGTGGAATATCGGCAGATTTTTATGTTTTTTTTGAATTATTCTAGTGTAACTTTTACTGCTTCTGAGATATCCCTGGAAATTTTTGTTATTTTTATTCCCATTTTGCGATTCTGATGGATATATAGTGAGAAAAACATCTGAAAATATTGGTGAAATTTTTGCATTTCACCAATTCAATAAATTTTGTTGAATCTGACAAGAATATGGTGAGAAAAACGTGAAATATTGGTGAAAAAATCTTAGCATCAACGAACGGGGATTTGAACCCTGGTCATTTTTATGGGAGCCCGTAACACTACTCCCATGACCAAACTTCTTACCCTGCGGTCATTAGCTATTTTTTATATATCTGGTGTATTAATTATACAGAATAGTACAACCATTATACACTTTAAATTTTTGCTTTAATTTAAACATGGTTTCTGATAATAACTATATACAGAGATTGCTAATTACATTCGGACCATTGTATTCTTAATCGTATAACGATGGAATAACGTTTTAAGTGATACGAACTTGAATGTTATCTCATTGGAGTTTGATTAACCACGTACTCGTGATAGAACAGTCTGAAACTTCTCCGCAAACTCGTTGAAAATGGTTTCGAGACCCGGGACCGTTTGTTTAAGGCACCATTTCGCTGTCATCGGGCTGATAAGGATTATGGCGATAACAGTCACCGTCAAGGGGGCGAACAACATCCAAACAAGCTGAGAAACAACGTTATCGTTAATTCGTTCGCATAATTTTGCGATCCCTGCTGCGAGGCCAAAGAAACTTTCGCCATTTTATCCGTTTCAGTGTAAAAAAAAAAGGGTCCTTTACTTTACTAAAACATGACGTTTTTTGTTGTACCATTTTAAGATAATACAACGAGAAATTTTATATGGAGAAACTTATAATTTCATGAATTATTTCTCCAACATTTATTTTTTTATTCATATGATGGCATATTAACCTCAAATACAGAACGATGTTAACATAACCTCTAAAATATGTTTAGGTTATGATTCAACATACGTACATAAGATATCCAAGAGATAATTAGCCACCCTAACAGCACTGTACCAGCTGTATTTAGATACGGTGCGTACTCGGGTCGTAGAATATGTTGCAAACATGGTAATTTCGTGTTTAAGTCCGCCAGGATGACCTGAAACTGTATGAAAAATTGATGGATCATAAAATTTGCTTGCAACAGAATTTTCACTTGCAGTGTTCCGCTTTAATGCTGTTATGCATATACGTGAGTGTGGTTATAATAATAATTCTTTAATAAGAGTCCAGAAGCAGTGGTTCTTGTACATTTCTTCTAAAGAAATATTAATTATATTCATTTATAAATATTAATTAGTTTGGTATTAGTTAAGCATTTAAATGCTAAGTTAAAAATTTAAAGATATGAAACTTATATAAGGTACCATTTTAAAATGGTACCGGAATACAAAATGTCACTTACATCCATTTTCTTTTCATTCACTGGTGCTCTTTCAAAACAGAGAAATGCACTCGAAATTTTATTTAAATCAATACCAAAATTAACATTTTTATTTGGCCTTCATCCTTCTACTACAGATTTCTTCATCAACATAGCATGTCTTCGATTAACCTAAATATATTTTTTAATTTAATAGAAGTAAAAGCTCAGAGTTAACTTAACTTTCGGTTGAAGTTTATCTTGGATGTAAAATTAATTAAATCAAGAAAGTTGTATAACTTTTTAAAATGTTTATACCTGGAAATCCACATAATTTCTTTTCCACCCCTTTTTTTTTATATTTATAAAAGGGGAAAGAGATTCATAACCTCGTTTAATGTTAACATTCAAGGCAGCTAAATGATGAAATAAACGAACAACAGAGGAACAAACTTCACGGTAACAGGAAATACAAACAAAAAATTCTGCTGACGTTGTAGGAAAAACATTTTCCATTCCGAGATGGATCCTGGGGAGGTGTAAACCTCTAGGTTCCTTTTGGATTTTGTAGGAAACCAAGAGTTGGACTACATTTCAGATACATGGAAGAACTTTTTCCGAGCAGAAAGCAGAGAGTGTTCCGTGAAAACATTTTATTCAACTCGTAATGGTAAAAAGAAGAGATTACTACACTTGTGAATCTCATTCCACTCGACTGCAAAATTTTTACATTCAATTACGCAGAAGTTAAAAGAATTTGATAGATTTCCAAATTAACCCGAATTTTTTAATGGACAAAATTCATGCTTGACACTTTCATTATAATTAATTTAATTACCATCCATAACGCCAGTCCGTTTGAAGTTGTCCAGTAGGTTCTCATTTCATTTCTGTTTTTTTTTTTTCAATAAAAATTACGAACTCAAAGAAAAATAACGCTGTATAAACAGGAGCCAAATAAAAGGTTTTTTAAAAAATGGTAACAATTTATAATTATTAGAAGAATTGACGGGCTTTTAATTAAAAAGTCATAAGGAAAATTAATTATCTTTTACGACAACCCTGGGCGTTTTAAATGCCACTCAGAACAGCATTGACGTGAATTTTTGCAATGAAGAAGCTTTTTAAGGCTTCCTCGACTTCTTCGAACGATCCAGAAGCGATCTTAAAAGCGTGATATTAGATTTCCTTTTGAAGTTCCCACGAGTACGTGCATTCGCTTTTATTGTTATCGGACTTCGATGATCCTTTCGAATGTTCTCCACCATTCTGTGTTCACTGCTGATGAGGTTCTTTCGAAAATCGGCTTGAACACGGGTCTGCAATTTTCTACCATTATTATAAAATCCTTTTCAATAGAAAACGAAAAATAAAATTGTATTAAGTTAAATATAAGGTTAGGTCCTTAGCCGCCATTTTCTTGATTCTAGTCAGAAAATGGCGGAGCTGAAATAGGAGTATGTTAGGTTAGGTTGCACTCTAAAAGTAAAAAACATTAATTTACTCTTGTGTTTAGAACCAAGACAAATTATAAAATGTGTAATTTTTTAAAATAATATCTGATCTACATATTTCTTCAGGTTCATTAAAAAATCCTTATTTGATGTAACTCTATATATTTGAAATTTTCAAATGAAATATAAAAATTAACACAAAAGTTATTTGTTATCCCGTCGTCTCGTCAATTTCTTCCTCCTGCATCGTTGAGTCACCTATCGTCACTTCAGTCGGTGCAGTGCTCGCCGTTTCCTGTTCTTCGGTAGACCCGATATCGATTATCACCGGCTGCGTTTCCTCTACGAGGCCAGGAATCGCGCTTCTGGCATAACGGACTTCCGGTGTTTCCATGCTTATTCCGTCCAATGCCGATTGTAATTGTACGTGGTCCATCTCGCACATCTTGTTAAACGCATGTGACGTACACCTCGCACTCTGATCTACCAAGGACTGCGAACAGGCAGGTTTTGAACATTAACTGGCCAAGGGCTTTCTGGCCCTGTCTGTTACTTCCATTGTTTCAAGTTGAATTATAATTCACTTTAAGTGAATATGAGAAGAAGTAAAGAGTATACAACAACAGCCATTAAAATATTAAGACATTTGTCCAACTTGTCCTCGTCCTGAGTGGGGGGACACTGCCCCCTTAATTTTATGGGACATTCATCTTAATCCTACTTTGAGAGGGAATTAAGACATCACTGCTACTGCTGGAAGAAATAAGTAAACACTAAGGGTTTATAACTTAATGAATTGGGAAAAATAGTTGGTAGTATCAAGGTCCTCCTGATCAAGGCACACTATAGGAAGGGCAGTGGCAGCATCTGCTTCTCACCTAAGACTAGCATCTTATCTACTACTTTTATTGGAATTGATTAAATGCCTTCATTTTATAATGTAATACTGATTAAAAATTAGAGAGAAATCCCTTCTATGATGACGTCCCCAGATGCTTCCTCTGAAGTTGACAAAAATGAAAGAAAAAAGAAACAATGGATTATAGGGCGGAGGTTATGACTACGGTTTAGAGGTTATATGGCGATGGTTATGGGTACAAGTTATAGCTTATAAGATAGAGGTTATGTATATAAGATTATGATTATAGGTTATGTGTACAGTTTGATCCAATAAATTATAAACCTCCTGGAATGTGAACTAGGAGTATTAGGAATAAATATAGGTTAGGTTAAAAATGTATAGGTTATAGATTACATGTATAGTTCGGTTCAATGAACTATAAACCTGTAGGTGTTCAGGTTAGATTAGTTCAGGTTAGGTTAAAAACAATGAACACTGAGTAAAGTTCATTAGATACGGGATTGCTTCCACGGCGGAAATACGATTCGCTCGTGTAAGAAATTATACGCTCGGTGATATCAAGAGAGGAGGGTGAACATAGGTGATCTAATTTCCACAGACGACGGCTTCTACAATGACGCTAGATTATGAAATTATGTAATAACCTAATACTTTAGCAGACTTCCCTCACCCCTTCTGACAGCTTCCCATTTTCTCCGGAGTTCGCGTACTCTGAAATGCACACGACAAAACGGATATCCAACGTGGCGTACTAATTAATCCCGATGGCTTTAATACGCGGTTTCATTTTTCCGCAACAGAACCACCCTTTTCATTTGTGTTTCGAAGAAATTCAATTACCAAGTTGAACGGAATTTTTTCGAACAGATACCTAGTGAAATCTATACAGCAAAGTTTCGTGTTTCCTGGAAATTAATCAGCTCCGTCCTAGGGATTTTTTTGTTCAGACGCAGATCTATTAATTTCCAGTTGATTCTGGACCGTTGGTTTCCTGTATCGTCTGAAAAACATATCTTTTAGAAGCTTCGCATTTTAGTACTCACAACGGCTAATCGTCCAGACTGATGCAGCATGAAAGTCGTCATCGGGTGAACAAAATGGGTGATGGTGACTTCCATCAATAACGAAGTAGCAGCGACGGCAGTTAAAACCGCGGTAAACAGCACGAATAACACGAACTGGAATAGATTCGTTACCACCTGAAATATTGAAGGTGATTTAAACTCGATAATGAAATTCACATGATCCCGGAAACGTGACGTCGTCGTACAATGACGCTAGGGAATATTTATCGTTTCCTGGATCTATTCTGGCAGCCATATTTCGTCCTCCCGATTATCAATGCCATTTTTTATTTCTTACCAATAAATAAAACATTCTCCCTGTCTATTTATAAGATCGAAAACATCAATCGGAAAATAACCTCGAAATAAAAAAATTCTAAAAATCTCAACAAAATGAGACGAACAAAGAAGCACATCCTAAGAATATCCGTAGAGCGGATCGATCATTCTCGACTCAATCTTTCGCTCTATTTCGCGCAAATTGTTTCTCCTCGATAACCTAAAAAAAAAAAAAAAAAAAAAAAAAGAAAAGAAAGGGTGCCTTTCCAATTCGCTCGCAGCCACATCCGGAGCAACGAACAAACGGTTCGAAAGAAAACTGCAGAGAAGAAAGAAGGCTCACGTAGAGAATCGGCATTGCCAGTTCAGTTGTTGTCAGGGAACGGGTCGAACTGTTGGTTTCACGGATAAGCCATCGATATCCGATTCATTTCACAGGATCGAGCCACGTACGGGGGCGCGATGCATTCTTCCTCTTCCGTTTGCCTTCCTGTTCGAAGCGAATAAGGTGTCCTGCTGTTCGGAGAATCGGTCACAAGAGAACGGAAGAGGACATTTGTATTCCTCAGTTCGACACTCGACAACGTCTCGAAGGAAACAGAAGGGAAATAGAACGCTTTTTATTTCGTACCTTGTTTGGATTCTATCTTCAGACCGGTGCAGACGGTCGGTCGATTTGTTTTCGAAACGGCTGCCAGCCGAGTTTTAAGGTTAACTCTCGGCCTCTTCAACCTTAGCCACGGAATCGAGTGTTTGCACACCTTGTCCTGGACTCGAAACTCGCTAAAATGAACCGAGAGGCGAGCTTTGCCCTCCCTAACAAACGGAATCCCGTCGATTCGGACGAGTGCTTCGACAGGACAAGAAAACGTTCTTTCCTAACCTCAACTACTGCAACGACATATAGCGTTTATTTGCGTCGCAGGGACCAAATTTTATAATAATTGTAGAAATGATAGATTATTTAGTAGTATAATTATTTTCCTAACCTTCAATTCAGAAGATCAGAATTTTGCTAGAAAAAATTACATAACCTCAAATTTTTTCTTTAATAAGGGAGGAAAATCTTGGTAGTTACCGGAGAAAGGATGTTTCTCAATAGCTTCCTAACGCAACTGCGAATAAATACTTGAAGTTTATTTAACAAAGATAGCGGTTGGAAATGGAACGTAGAAATTTCATTTTTCAGACGACTCTCTGGTAATGGAGGTAGCTTATTCGCGAGGGTCATGAATAATAATCAAGAGAGAAACTACGATTCCGTTGGAGGCTTTGTGAATGCTGGGACCACGTTGTTGAGTTTATTTCACGCGGTAATTACTCGCTAAAGGAACAATATAAATGTAAATGGACGCATAATTCGAGAGGTTTTCTATTTTTCTCACCACGACAAAATACTTCAGATATTTGATGTGTTATGAGTGGTTATAATCTCTGGAGGAGTAAAATGGCGGAGTGATTAGGTGAGAAAATGGTGGCGAGTTGGAATAACAAAATGGTGGAATGGTAAAATGGTAACAAAGTTGGAATAGCGAAATGATGGAATAATGTAATGTTAAAATGGCAAAATGGTAAAACTGCAGAGTGATAAAATGGCAAAATGGAAAAGTAAAAGAACAAAACCATAGAATTATAAAACCAAGGTATCACAGAAATAACAAGAATCGTAAAATGATAGAATAAGATGATCGTAAAATCAAACTATCGTAAAACCATAAAACCAAAGTATCGTAAAATCGTAGAAGCCACTATATTTAAACATTCTAAATTCAATTATCGAGTCTCTCGAAGTAGCAGAACTTCTACGCTAGGTCGGTACGACCGTGACAAAAGACGGTAATTCGCGAATAACTCGATATACGAAATTGCATCGAGAAAGCGTTAATCGGACGCGTTCGCGTCGCTGACAGAAATACGTTCGTGTCGTGTTGTAACCTTCGGATCCCGATGAACGTTTAAATTGTTCGGTTGATCGCTCGTAAACACTGGAAAACGAAGCTTCCCGACAGTGCACGAATTTCAATCATCGAACAAAGAGACTCGGAATTATGGGCGTGCCAAACTCGAAGAGGTAACCCAGAAATTTTCATTTTATGCAAGAAATAATTTAACGGAAAGATGCAAGATTTATTCAGTCTAATTGTAATAAAAAGGAGATACGATTCCCCCTCCTCCGTTGCATAGATCATCCTGAAGGGTTTGAGTCATATAGGTTAGGTCATTTATCATAACCTCCTCGACTATCTTCATCATCGCTGTGAGATATGAGAATACGTCATAAGGACAAATTATATGGACGAAGGGTCACATACGGTGCTATAAAAAAGAAAAAACGTTTTCCCTTCAAGGTCATAGTTTATTATTCCGTTTGTAAATCTTGATATTTGCTAGCCGGTGTGTGCGCGCCATCGATCCTAACGACAGCCATTTAACGAGCCCTTTCGAAGGAATTCATTTTGTTGGACGTGCGATGATAAATCGCGTACGATTCAGCCGATGATTTCAAATGCTCGTCAAGTATCGTGAATGGACTCTTCTCGCGGTTGTCAGGCCGGCAAATGATGACGCACGCTTGTCTGGAACTAGGATAGATTAATCGGTTCGAGAACCTTTAAAATATAGTCGCAGAACTCGGCTCGATGTGAATTGGAAAACGTTCGATACCGTTTCAAATTGAAACGTCAGGTTAATAGATTCGATTTAACCAGCCGAATGAAATTCGGTGCCTGTAATCCGATAGGATTGATCTTAATTTAATTACTCGGATAATTAAGGGACATTAAGAGATTCGTCACATTATTTCTTGGTACTTTTATTGATATTTAACAATATTTAAAGGCGAGCAAGGAGGAGGTAACATTATAATATTTTATCTTGAATTTTTAAAGCTGTCCTCTACCCTCAGCCTCCAGAATGGATAGGTTAGGCCTGCTACAATATAAAAATCTTTATTAGTAAGAATGTTACCTAATCTCTTTTCCTCTTCTCATTCGCCACCCTAACCTAATCTTAACGTTATTCATCAACTGTCTTACCATAATACCCCCAAGCACTCGGTAATCACTTTCACCCTGAATTCCTCGAGAACTATAATCCACCCTCTTTCAAGCTCAAAATTAACCAAGCCTTTTAATAAATATCTACCTTCTTCTCCTCGGTCGCGTCTGCTTGGCGGGGCACCAGAGTATGCCCGCCCATCATGTTGCTCCTCTGTATGGACATGATGCTCATCGGCTCGACGGACATGCTGGTGGGTCTGCAGTTGCATTGGACGACGGACGACGAATGGGAGTGAGGGCAGTGCGGCACTTTGAGCACGGTAGCCATTTTCTGCGGTTCGGACATCATGTACATGGGTTTCACGACCATCTGCTCCTTGTAGACAGGCGCCATGGGGACGCAGCTCATGTCAACCTCATCTAGATGTGGGACCATTACTGTCTTCGTTATGTAGTGGGGTTTGACGATCTTCGCTGGTGGCTGAGGAGTCGTCTGAGGCATTGGGGCTGGGGTAGGCTCTGGTTCGTTGTTCATCTCAATGGTCTCTACTTCCTTGGTTGGAGGCTGTTGGTACTGGATGTTGACGCTGGGTTGTGGGCATGGCTGAGATGGTTGGATGATCTGCAGAGTGTGGATCGGTTGGACTGGCTGGGGTATCACTACTGTCTGAGGTGCAGCTGGTTGAGATTGAGTGTGGATCACGCTCATGGTCTGGACTTGCTGCTGGGCTGATGGGATGCTGTAGGCCTGCACTGGCTGCACTGTCTGATGGGTTGATGGGATGTTGTACGTTTGCACTGACGACGCTGGCTGCACTGTCTGCTGGGCTGATGGGACGTTGAACGTTTGCACTGACGACGCTGGCTGCACTGTCTGCTGGGCTGATGGGATGTTGAACGTCTGCACCGACTGCTGGCCTGATGGGATGCTGTAGGTCTGCACCGACTGCTGGGCCGTTGGCTTGCTGAACGCCTGCATCTGTTGCCCTCCATGCATATGTTGCCCTCCATGCATCTGCGGTACCAGGTTCATAGTTTGAACAGGTCCGAGTTGTCCCGCTTGTGCGCCCTTGTCCTTGATCTCCATGCAGAACGTCGACTTCTTCGCTCGCTCCTTGTCATCGCCGAGTTCCTCGGCCTTCAGCTCCTCGTTGAAGGCTGGCTCGTCGTTCACCGACTTCTTCTCGATCCTTGATGCTGGAATGGCGTAGGCCAACGCCAAACCGAGCACAAAAAGGGCGAAACAAGCTTTAGGATGCATTGTTGAAGATCGAACGATGCTGAACTGACGATTCCACCGATTCGGCTACTATTTAAAGGTCCTCTCGGCCGCGTTTAATATCGCAATTCTGCACGCATCCACAACATGCGGTACTGCTGACCACGCGGAATTCCGGGCGTTATTAGGTCACTTGTTGACATGACGCTACGGTGCTCGATGCCTGCGTCGATTCGCACGCATCGTCTCTTTACAGGAAACATTTTTCAGCTTCGATTCTTCCGAGTTGCAATCTTTAAAATAAATTTAATTTTATTTTTTAAAATATTAAAAGACAATAGAGTGGTAGAACTGTCGAGTTGCAAAATTAAAAACAATTTATAGTACATTTCGAAATTTAATTTTTATCATTTCAGGTAATTATTATACTTCACATTTTAATGTCAAATGGTTTTTTTTTTTTTTTAATTTCACGTAGTGATATTAACTGCTGTCAGCATTACGATAATTATTTTAATTATATATTGTTTCCAAACAATAACATATGTATGCTGCACGCAATAATTTAACAAACGTTAATTGCGCCAGCGGTCGCATCACGGTGATGAAATGCCGTAATGAAATATCGAATCAAAAGCACGCGGTCGCGTATGTTTGCTTGTGTAACCGATTCGCAAACGTTCGAAAATTGAGTTGCAAATTTTTTTCTTCGTTATTTCGAAACCTTTGATCAATCCGGCGCAGAGATAATTTAATTATTAATTAAAGGAAAATTTATACACGAGGTTGAAAATAATAACAAACAAATAAGAGGCTTCCGTATCATAATATTTTACTATTCTGCCAGATCTTCAACTATTTAAGATTCTTGAAAAGTTGTTCGACTCAAAGTCCTTTGAAAGTGAACTAAGACATTAAACTATTTCGCAATCCTCGGCGGGGATCTTTTCTGCGCAACGCTCCAATTGTTTCCTCTCTAACGGAAGTACGTTTTAATCTCCGGCACTTGCTTCCCTCGGGGAACAGCTGAGATTCTTCTTATCTCCGCCACGTCGATTGGTATCATCGCGTAACAGACGAAAGTACGTGCAGAATCATTTCTCATTACGAGAATACTCTCGAATGTCGGATCGGATAACAACTCTGTTCTCCAAAAACTTTTTTCCCCTTTCTATTTTCTTCTATTTATCGTGGCGAGATCATTTAATAAGAGATTTAAGTTTCACGTTCGTTAGAGGAACATCCGTTCGTATAGGAAATTTTTATTTATCCAACAAAACGCAGGCAGCACTGGCTGAACTAAAAAACTAGTTCTACGTTCTTCATTTTATCGAATATATTGATTATACAGGATGTTATTGCGCGTTTCTAAATATCTATAAATTCATGCATCGACGATGTGTGGGTATTTATAGAATTTTTTATTTACACGTTTTATTTAACTGATACTGAATATTCATAAAAATTCTGGGAAGGAAACAGAATGTTGGAAGAACACTATATTCTTTTATTTTATCGATTCTTATATTTATTCAGATTTGTACATCTAGGGTTTTTCATTTGGTAACATTTTCATCAAATAGTTTCTTTTTGCCTAAAAAAGGAACTAGAAATCGATGACAGTCTTACGTTAATTGCTATCGGGATTCCCTATAGAAAGTACTAGAGAATTTCATTCCAACGAAATTACCAGCAGTTAAACTGGTCGGTGATAGCAGCCGAGAAACATTTCCGCAGGATTAAGCAGCGATTGGAGTCTTTGTCGTGACCTCGCGTTCTGGTGTTGTAACTATTTCGGTGTCCCGTAAACTAACCTCCGTGGAAGGTTTCGTTAACCTGTTCCAGGTCACTTTAGACTTGCCCAGTACCTCGACATTAGTGTTTTCATTAACGGCGTCCCTGTTTCCTATCACGTGTTCCTGCTGGTCATCTCCATTAGAACTAAAATGGCCATTACTCTGACGACCGCCATTACCTTGATTCATCTGTGCCATTCTAACCCTTTGCTGATTTTCGAATTCCTCCCTTTGTCTCCTCTCCAATTCTTGCCTCTCCTGTTCCCTCATCTGGTCTCTGAAACCACTGTCATTAGGGACCTCCGCAGCATCCCTGCCTCTGTTCTGCGCCGTTTTGTAGACATTCAGGTCAGGTGACCGGTTGTACGGATTGTTCCTAACCTGTGGGGAGTAGATCATTGGGGAACTTTGAGGTTGCTCCCTTCTGGTTGGAAAGAACTGCTCCATGTCCGGTGCTCTTGGACCTACTGGCACCCTGCGATTGGGGGTGGGTCTTTGAGGGTAGGGCTGCGGTTGGACAAGGGGGCGTTCGACACCGAAGGAATGATCAGGGTATCTTCCACTTCGGTAGGCCTGGTATGGCTTCTTGTTTGTGTCCTCATAGGAGTTGGATAACCCAAAGCCTCCGAAGGATGGCTCTTCATAGGACAATCCATAATCAGAATATCGATTAGGGGTCGCTAAGTCGGACTGCCGACTGATCGTGTTGTATAAGTTGGGCTTCATGTAATTCGTCATGCCCAAGTTCCTAGATACTTGATAAGGAGGCTGGGAGTCCAGGGCTGGATCGTCTAGACCGCGAACAGGGGCGGTCGGTGCAGGAGCCAGGTCAAAAGTGATGTCCCTTTGGAATGCGAAGGGATTCTCGCGTTTGCTTGCGTCTGCGAGACTGCGGAAAGGCGGGCCTCCTCTGCTTCTAACGGCTCGGTCGTAAGGATTGTAGTAGAGTGGGTCAGGCTGGACCTGCTGTTCAGCAGGCCACTGGTCCACTTCTGGCTCGAGGGGTAGGAACTCTCTTCTGACTGGTTCAGAGTACCTGAAGAAAAATAATTATTCCTACTTAATGCTTTTAATAAAATTTAAATTAAGGACACCAATGATCCAACGTACGAAGAGTCTGGGTCCTAAGGAAATGCCAAAGTGCCAGGAGGTTTTTCAAGGTACTGGACGACCTCCTAGCTGTCTAATGCTCCTAGGGAAGTTCTAATATTTCTAGTAAAATTCAAAGGGTACTCACCAGGATACCAAGGCGTCAGGGCGTTCTCGACGACACGAGGGACAGGAAGCATGTCTTTGATTCCTGACCTCCTGATAGTCTTGGTAGAACGTTGGCGATCCAGACACCAGGATCGCGAACAAACACGGCAATAGTGCTCGAGAGATTCGTTCGAACATGCTATCTGAGTAAATGAAGGGCACAGCTGATCGTGGCTACTTTATAAGCTACCGATGTGACGTACTGTGTTTCCTCTTTCCATCAAGATGTTTTCGTTCACGTTGCATCAGGCTCGTGTCTTTTGTGCAAACGGAAGCACAGATGATTGGATGATTTGTATCACCTTGTTTTGCCACTCTGTCCCGGAAATTGACCGCGGACCTTGATCCACTTCTTATGCAGGTTGCAAGAGAAGGAATATTATAATATTGGAACGTGTGTAATATGGAAACGTGATTCTGTCCTTGGATTTTGTTATGCAACGATGTCGTCATATTCCTTGAAATGGAATATAAAATATAAAATTTTAAAATTTATGATTTCTTCCCCCACAGGCAAGATACAGATGACGACATAATATCAAAGAAATCACTGCAGGCTGTGAAGCAAATCATCAGTTTCCTAAAAGAACGTATGCAAAATAAGAATAAAAATTATTATATTTCCTAATTGGAAAACAATCTAGGAATCGTTTCCAAAGATTCTTAGCTAATGATATAAATGTTCCCTTTCAAGATGCCAGAGAGGAGGGTTTGTTTCGACGCGCGGGCCGTCGCGAGCTACGAACGCGAATATTAAATTCATTGAAAAAAGGAGAGAAGCCACATTTGGACAACAATAACAACGCGGCCTTAGAATGTGCAGCAGCGTTGCAACTTTTTCTTAGCCACTTGAAGAAACCCGTGATGCCACAACATGTCCAACAACTTCTTCTGGGTAATCTTGCAATTTTCAAATACACAAAAGTTTGTACAATTATAAAAAAGTCGCTTAACTTGTTAAGTAAATATTTCGACGAAGTGATTGATGAAACTAACGAGGGAAAAAAAAACTGTCGCATTTTTGCAAAAAATATATACTGTGCACGTTCCCACAATGTTGCTTTTAATTACACTTTTTTTTTCTGCATAAAATGCAATGCGATAAGGTACACTGTTATTCGAGCAACATGCGAGCTGTAAATATTTGCGGTTAAGTAACATCCAGAATTATTACTTAATACGACACCGAGCAGAGCTCGTTAATTTTATAGGTTATGTGTATCGTTTTGGATACTCGTCGAGAATTATGCAACCGTGCAAGTGAACGTATTGGGTTGCATATCTAGTTCGACGATATTGCGATTTTGCAACGACCTAATTGCTTATAGCCAATTGAAAATTCCATTGGGAGACATTCATTTCTGATGGCAACTATTTTTGTTTTGGGAGGAGGTTAGGTCCCCCAGCATCACACACGATTACTATAAGCATGAGGCATCTAATATTGCTTAATTATAATATTCTATAACAATTGGTAATTGTTATAAGGTTCTGGTAATCAATGGTTGTTATAATAAATGAAATCACTTTAATCATATCTTTATTTTTTTTAATATTAACGCTTTTCTTTCATTCGCACGCTATATCTATCATATATGTACTATACACCCGAACTATTCTCACACGTATACCAACACACACACTGTTCACCGATCACAGGAAGTCCCATGAGAATAACGCAATCTGATTGGCCGCCCCCCACCTCACTTACTTGTACTTTCAGTCCTGACGTATGATTGGTCGAAGCGGTCACATCTACTATTTAGACTCGTATAAAACTAGGGTGTTAGTCGATTTGTGCATAGTACCTCCTCTTGCCTATGTGTCGTCCCGCGGGACATTTTGTGATCGATGCACAGTACAAACATAAGAAAGCTATTATTCCCCATGACAGTAACATTATAAAATGTCGATGTTATTCTTATTGCAATTAACCACCATGGTATTAGGTAAGACCCCTTTAGCCCATAGGGCATAGGGCAATAGCGGTACCCCTTGTTACCATAAATTTCAATGGTTCCTTTCCCTGCCATCAGCGAAGTAAGGACGACCGAGTGATTAAATGGTAATTTTGCATCGACCAGCCGACAATCCCGGGGTGACCGCCCACGTAATCGCGAGGGACGCGCTTGGATTAATACGACAGGACGTCGGGGGTCGTCACGGGGAGCTTCTGGCCAGGCTTCTTGATTTACTCAGACACTTGACGCTTTCCGGCCCACCGTCGGAGAGATCGGAACTACGCGGCTCGCCGCTTCCGATTGCGCTGCTTCCGGTCTTCTTTACCCTAACGGTAAGGATATACTCGCCTGTGGAGGTTGGGGCAGTCCTTTGGAGGTCGGTCTTTTCTCTTCATTTATGGGGTAAGGGCTGTTTGGAGTGTCTGGGCAATCTCTTGGAGCAATTTAATGCAATTTTAAGCCAGACAAAGGAAAATAAGTTATAGTATGGTACCTCAAAAAAGGACATGGTAAAACTCGTAGGTACTGTTCGATGTGCTTAATCCCTGTAGTCATAATTATTTTGTAACCATGGTATCTGACAAGGGGAACTACCCAAGTGTTACACTCACTTATTAATGAAACTTTGCCAGCTTGTAGAGCTCGTCGAGCTGAACACGCCTATACCCCGTTTTGTGGGCAGACGACTAATTGTTTAAAAGATATTAATAATTAAAGTTGGTTACTACTTACATTGAGAAGTATGACAGACTCACACATACAACTCGCAATCTAGAGATCCACGCTTCAAATCCTTGATTCACAATATTTTTTTTTTTTTTTAAATGATAATTTGTCTCTTTTTGAATAACTATTAAATAAAAGTTATCATAAAAAGAAAAATTTTTTGGGAACCAAGGATTTGAACCGAGGACCTTAAACTTGCAAGTTACGAATCTGCTCCGTGGTTAAACACAGGACTCGTAATCTAAAGGTCCTCGGTTCAAATCCTGGGTTACTGTTTTTTTTTTTTTTTTTTTTATGATGATGATAATGTTTGGTTAATAGTTATTGAAAAAGAGACAAATTATGATTAAAAAGAAAAAATGTTGGGAACCAGGGATTTGAACCGTGGATCTCTAGATTGCGAATTGTATGTGTTAGTTTGTCATACTTCAGAATGTAAGGAGTAACTAACTGTAATTGTTAATATCTTTTAAACAATTAGCCGTCTGCCCACAAAACGGGGTATAGGCGTGTTAAGCTCGACGAGCTCTACAAACTGGCAAAGTTTGATTAATAAGTGAGTGTAACACTTGGGTAGTTCTCCTTGTGAGTATTTTACGCTATGGTAGTTGAATATCCTGAGTGTTACTATGGCAATGGAGTATCCTAAGCGTTACCATGGCAATAGTACCACAGGCGTTACGATAGTAACGAAGTGCCATATGCGTTGCTATGGTAACAAAGTACCCTAAGCGCTACCACGGCAACGGAATAAGCAGGCGTTACCATGGCGACCGAGTATTCTAAGCGTTGCCATGGCAACGGAATACTATAAACGTTACCATGGCACCCAATTACCCTAACCTCTACCATAGCAACCGAGCGTCAAATAACGCATCTTCCTTGTCTGTTTGGGTTATATCTTATCAAATGAACAGTATCGTATCGGCTCTGCTACACCGATTAGGAACGAAAGTACCCAGATCCCTCGGTTTTATTGGGAACTGATCGATTACTTTTCCGTTACAGCCGGCTGACCTGGTGAAATGGAAGCAAGTAGCCGCCAGATTCAGCGAATTAATTACCGAAGCTCCTGAGCAACTGCAGCTGAATGAAAATCGATCGTATGACGTAGAATCAACGGGTGTAACTAGCGGGAGTGAGGCGAACGTAAGAAACAGAAACGTCCTTATGGTCTAACGAAAATATAAAAACTGCCTCAAATTACCCTGTGTAAAAAGCAAAAGTCCTAGTCATGACAAGTAATTATCCCTCGTCATCGTATTTTTCAATAAAAGAGAGACAGGAAGAAAATGGAAAGATAGAATGAAAATGTCACAATCGAAATTTATCACGTCATTTTTCCTATCTCCCTTTTTTTGTTACGTGCCTCTATCTTTCTCTATCTCCGTTGAATAAACACATTAATGAAACAGACGACACTGGAAGAGTTGGCATATCTTTCGTACTCATATTACGCCAGTAAGTATTACTAACTTTTTTTCCAAATTAAACCCGTTCGCTTAATCCAGTAATTTTTTTAAAATCCGAAATTACCTCGAATTAAATCCACGAAAGGGAAACTTTTAAATAAACTTTCTGCGTAAATTCTCTATATTTTATTCATTTTATTTTCATCAAAACGAGCCCTAATCTTGCGAGGATTAACACTCCACCAAACAAACTGGGTCGTTCATATTAAAGTTTCATTTTTTTTTTTCTTATTATTTTAAGCTTTCAAAAATACTGAAAATATTTGAGAACAGTTATTAAAGTCTCCGTTACGGTCATTCCTTGCTTCGAATCTTTAATACCTTCTTTTTTAAATAGAAATAAAAATTCAAATGGAAGCCTTCATTTTCCCAGATTTAATTTCGCGGGGGGTTAAGAAATGAATGTAAAAGGTGGTGGAGATTGAAAATTGATAAAATGAGCTGTTAGAAATATTTTATTCAGATATCTGAAGAATATAACGAAGGATTAAGTAACGGTTTGAAATTAAAAAAAAAAAAAAAAAGAAGACGTTCCTTCTTAGACATCTTGATTTCAATAACAAATTTATACAAATGCCTTTTATCGTTTCAGGTCAGGTTGGAGAGATAACTCGCATTCTTGCTGTGCCGTTGCATAGACTTCCGGCAAGCAGACTTCATCCAGCAATTTCCAATTCGAATCGATAGCCACGGCATTAAAAGACATTAATATAAATGCAATTCTTTCGCATAAATGTTAGGGAACGATGCATAAATTATCTGTATCCATTTACTGCACTTCTCATACTTCGTTCGATGGAATGAAGAAAGAAAAAGGAATTGCTTCTAGTTATGCATTTTTATACTTGGTTCTTATACCCTCATTTATATTGTAATTATTTATTTTTGTATAAAATACTGTAAAATAAAATTACTTTCGCTGGTACCCCAATTATCAACGTTATTGTTAACCAAGACTCGGAGATAATTACATGGGATAATTACATTAATGAGATGAAATTAGATGCGAAACACAGTCTCTCCCTCGTTTTGCGTAATGATATTGGAGATCCTTTGGCGATGTACTGTGCTTTGTGAAGCGATAGAGACGGTTAATTAATTATATTCCATCGTTACAGAACGAAGAGGCACTTGAGTAACTTATGTTTAAAGTAAGAAATCCTAAACTTCAGGATTAAGATGTTTAATGAAATTGTACTGTAATGAGTAAGATTTATATAGAAATACATAGAAACTTTAGACAAAGGTTTAACATAATATTGAATTTCATTTGTAGAATATTATATTAAATATTTAGTGTAAGATAATATAAATATTGGCATGTATAACCAATGTAATACAATATGATACTGATTGTAATAAATTATTTCAAAAGAAACTAGAATTCGTCAGTATTTTCTCGGTCTACCGAGAACATCCTTTACACTCCCCTCCCAGGGTTGCATCCCCTACATCCCTGGGCACTCACATCCCGGTATCCCTTACTTCTCTACATCCCTTACATCTTTGCATCCCCTACATCTCTGCATCCCTTACATCCTTGTATAGCGCCCTCTGGTGATAAAAAAAGGAATTAAAGCAAGAATAAATTTTGGCCCTCTTGCGGCAAAAATTTGAACTAAAATCCCGACCTCGAATCAGCGCCATCTGGGGGTAGAAAAAGGAACTAAAGCAAGACTAAATTTTGGCCCTCTTGCAGCAAAAATTCGAACTAAAATCTTGACCTCGAATCAGCGCCATCTGGGGGTAGAAAAAGGAACTAAACCAAGACTAAATTTTGGCCCTCTTGCGGCAAAAATTCGAACTAAAATCTTGACCTCGAATCAGCGCCATCTGGGGGTAGAAAAAGGAACTAAACCAAGACGAAATTTTGGCCCTCTTGCGGCAAAAATTCGAACTAAAATCTCGACCTTTAACCAGCGCCCTCTGGTGTTAAAAAAAGGAACTAAATCATGCAGCGATTTTGGCCCTCTAGCGGCGAAAATTTCAACTAAAATTTTCAGGTCGAAACAGCGCCCCCTGATGATAATAATCAGAACTAATTTTCGGACAATTTTTCGCTTTCTGCTACAGGGATGAGATCCAGAGAAGTAATATGAAGAGAGCGGGAATGTAAGGGATGCAGAGATGTAAGGGATGTAAGGGTTGCAGGAATATGAAGAGAGCGGGAATGTAAGGGATGCAGAGATGTAAGGGATGTAAGGGTTGCAGGAATATGAAGAGAGCGGGAATGTAAGGGATGCAGAGATGTAAGGGATGCAGGGATGAATGGGATACTGGTAATTCAGGGGTAGTCCCTGCGTGGTCCATGAAAAGAATGAAAAAAATATATAACTGCGAAAGGAACCCTTGGTCCATAAAGAGAAATAAGGGTGAAAAGGGTGATCTTTAATCTATAAGGAGGAATAAAATAATAAATAACTGGAAAAAGTGAAGCGGGGTTCACAAGGAAGGATAAAATAATAAATAAAAGGGGTGATCGACCAAGGCCCAGAAGAGGGATGAAATCGTTTTCATTCCTCTTTAATGAGCTTATTTAATAAGCGAAAAAGTTTAATAAAGTAAGTTAAATAAACTCCGAAAGGAAATTTGAAGTATATGGATGTCTGATAAGTTGATCTGCACCCCTCGGCAATCGCTATAAGACTGAGGTCGCACCTCGTTCTCATATTGGGAAATAAGTATTTGATTTGAGGTTGATTTTCATGTATATTATGTTTTTAATTTATTAAAGATCAAACAATTATTTAATCTTGTATTTATAAATAACTGAGAAAAGAAGTTAAACACATTGAATAACTAAAATGATAGAAGAATTTAAGCGAAATAAATAAATAACTCAGGAAAAAAATTATACGCATTTAATAAATAACTCAGAACGGAAATTGTATAAATTAAATAAATAACTCAAAAAGAAAACAGGGTAAAATGAATAATAACTCAGTTGCTTTATTAAAATGATTTATTTACCAAGGCATAAAGTGAATACAAGTTTGTCTTACAATTATTTTAATAATGTCTCGGTCTTATACTAGTTTTCATTAATTTATAAAAAATACAGTTAGAGGGAGTCAAAATTGTCTTCTCAGTAGTCTGTGCGAAGTACAGTAAAAGAGGCATTGGTAAAACACGCACGATTCTCATGTCGACTGTATTTTGTACAGCTAACTGTGTCCAGGGGTTCTCAGGATCCCAGTACGCGAAACGGGGTTCTTAGGATCCCAGTGCGCGCCGCTGGGGTTCTTAGGATCCCAGTACGCGCAGTGGGGTTCTCAGGATCCCAACGCGCGCCGTTGGGGTTCTTAGGATCCCAGGACGCGCCGCTGGGGTTCTTAGGATCCCAATGCGCGCCGCTGGGGTTCTCAGGATCCCAGTACGCGCCATGGGGCGCGCGAACTCAACATGCCTGGGGTATCTGGAACCCCAAGTGCGCTTCGGGGTTTCTAAGACCCCGTAGATGTGCCGTGGGTTATCTAGGACCCCAAGAATGCAGCCTGAACTATCTAGAATTCCCAAATTGCGGTATGGTGTATGTGGTATATAAACATTGAGATAATAGTATTCCATACATTCATCAAATTAAATGTACATACATTTTAATTATTAATTTAAACAATTACCTTCGCAAGTAATTCTAAACGCTATTACCCTCCTGCGTTTTTTTATTTCCATCATTTTCCTAATTGTCGGTAAATCGTAACACAGACACTGTTCAAATAATTTCAACTTGCATTTACTTAGAAATTTCAATTTATATAAATTTTGTTTTCTAACCAACAATCGAGAATTAATCACTGATTTTTCGAATTATGATGTGAAACTGCTCTACAAATTACCGATCGATTTTCCGGTTATCGACCTGTCCTCCGGCAGTCGGTAAATTGTTGCGTAGTTTCTTTCAATTATCGACCGATCCTCCTACCGTCGGTAAGTTGTCGCGTAGTTTCCGCTACTTTCCGATAGGTGGCGCTAAGGTCGGAAATGAAGAACATACCTTCCTCCTTTGATGTTCAGAGACAGACTGACGCGCTAGAACGCGAAGCAGTTTACTTATACTACCTTGCCCCTACTGTCGCTTACTTTTATTCGAATTAATGTCAAACAATTATTTTAATAATTTTAATAATATCTAAATAAACAAAATCAAAAGGATGTAATCAGTTCGGATTATGCACCTAATTTCACTTGGGGGTGTCTAGGACCCCGAAAATCATGTCCCTCGGCATGTCGGGTCTTTTTTGCATCTGTAGTCACTACACGAAATGGGGATCTTTCAGCTTGAATGTTCCTCACTTTCATTTTGGATTTCATCATGGACGGTAGTAAGGTAAGTCTAGTTTATTCGTTTCACATAATCGTGTTTAATCACGTGCATCAACACATAAAATATAAAAAAAAGTAATGAATTTCGATTCACTTATTCTGTAATGTATCATTTATTGTTATATTTTTATTAATTTTCTACTACATTTTATAAAAATTCGCTTTAAATGATGATATGTTAATAGTCTCGTTCGTATGATATTTCCTGATTACGATCTAAAATATGATTCTGAATGCATTAAAACGTTTAGATATTTTTTTGTGAATCAATTAATCGTTAATTAAGAGTTTGATTTCTTTCTTTTTTTCTTAGAATTGGCTAGAAATGCGAACGATATTAAGGTTAATATCTAGACACGTGCTTTGGGTCGCCTCGCATTGATGCATCTCTTGCTTCAACTTTGTTGCAGATTTTCTAGTAAGTATTACCTTTCAATTCATATTTCTCTAAAAATTATGTTGCATTTAAGTATCAATGATGTTGAGTTACTGCCCCAGTCTGATAGTTATGAATGATTCAGTTATTCTGAGATGAATTATGTAAATTAATAAATAATGTGTCTGATTTAATTGTATATTAAATAAATTCTCTTCTGTTTTTAGTATATAATGGCAAAGATGAAGTTGCAACACCTTGCAATGAATTGTACCTCCCTGCCCAACATCGTTTCACTATTAATATTAGTAAGTATTGTTTATTGATTCTTCCTTCTAACACTCATATAACATAATTGTGATGAATATTTAATCACCGCTCTAGTCAATCAGAACCATCATGTAGAAGTGCAAAACCTGAGAATTTAATATAACAAACGTGTATCTTTTACATGACTAGTTACGTAATAAAATATGCATATATCGTTGCAGGCAGAAGTATGAGACTACACCGATAAGCTGCATAAGTGTTTACATATTTGGGGGAGGGTACTGTAAACTGTGGACAAAGGAATATCGCCCTTAGCTATGTTATTTTAATTCAAAATGGATCTCAATCGCGAGCATTTCAGAGCGATGATTTTCTACGATTTCAAAGTCGGTTTAAGTAGAGTCAAAAGCTTGGAACGCTTGCGTGGAGCGTTCGGTGATTCCTCGCCATCCCAAGCCACAGTTTACAGATGGTTCAGAGAATTTCAAAGGGGTAGGGGTTCGTTGGTAGACGAGGAGCGTGTCGGTCGACCAGTCACAGCTGCAACGGACGAGAATGTCCTTGCTGTCGAGCAGATGTTGAGCGAAGACAATCGTATGACGTATGCGCAAATACAGGGTGCCTTAAAGATCGGATCAGCAGCAGTGAAAACCATCCTTCATGAGAAGCTTAGCGTCAGGAAGCTCAGCAGTCGTTGGATCCCTCATCAGCTAGCAGATGCACAGAAACAGGACCGGGTGAAATGGTGCCAGGAGATGCTACAAAGATTTAACAAAGGACGCTCAGAGGCTGTTTATAATATCATAACAGGCGATGAGTCTTGGATATATCAGTACGAGTCCGAAAATAAACAGCAATCCGCAGTCTGGGTATTTTCTGGGGAAACTCCCCCTATGAAAATGAAGAGAGGCCAAAGTGTTGGGAAGAAAATGCTTTGCACTTTCTTTTCCGCAAGTGGCCATATCGAAACTGTAACGTTAGAAGACCAAATAGTTACTGCAGAGTGGTACACCGCTGTATGCTTGCCACAAGTCTTTGAAAAACTTGAGACCAAACGACCCAAGATAGACATGAAAGGGATTCTATTGCACCATGACAGTGCATTGGTTCATTCAGCTGAGAAAACAGCAAATTATTTCAGAGAATTAGGGATCCAAGTTCTTGGTCATCCACCTTATAGTCCTGACTTAGCACCATGCGATTTCTTCCTGTTTCCAAAAGCTAAAGAGAGCATCAGAGGACAACGATTCGAATCCCTAGAAACTGCAATAGCAACTTACAAAGAATTTTTGGATAGTATACCAAAAGAGGAATGGCGAGCGGAGTTCGGCAAATGGTTCGACCGAATGAGGACTTGCATCCGACGAGAAGGAGAATACTTTGAAAAAATATAATGGTAAATGTTCTTTATATAAAGCGTCCTATATCATTTTTATGCAAGTCTTTGTGATGAATATTTTAGTTATCCCTGTCATACTTGAACACATGGTGACAATTACTTTACTGATATAAACTTGGTATACTTAAACTTAGGAACCTATAATAGTTTTCAGTCGTTCTAAGTAAAATTGTTTGTTACAGGGAAAGATGGAAATGGATTCATAGAAACAGTCAATAAACCAGAAAAGAAGTAAGCAACTTTTTATAATTAAGTATTTAAATTTGTTGAGAAAGTTATTTGATTATGATGATTTATTTGACAAGCATATGTCTGAATAAGTTTTGATGCAATTTTCTTTTCTGATCACAATTCACGATTGATATTCAGATGTAAAATAAATATTAATTTATAAATTAATAGTACTTTTGTTTTGTTGCAGAAGTTCCATATGGTTTTCTTTGTATCACAAAATATACTGCCATTTCGATATTAGGTGAGTGTTACATAGTAAATATAAATATAATTTTTATTTGAAATGATGATGATACACAATATATACGCTATAATGATTTACGAAGATGACATCCACTTGCCCTCACTGAATATTAGATCCATAAATAAAAATTTCATTAATGTAATCTTCGTGTTTTAATAGAGTTGCGTTTGTTACAGGTGTGCCGCCATTTTGTAACATACAGTAGAACGCAAACATAACCTTGTTATGAAAAAGGTAATCACAATATTTCTTTTTTTACATTTTCTTACATAAGGGTGTTAACTTTCCCATTTAATGATGTCTTTTATAATATACGCTATGATTTTTAGTGATAACAAATTATTTTTCTGAAATAAACATGTGATTGTAACTTAAACTGTTCAAGTATGTTAGATTTAATGCAATATTAATTAATATTTCAGTGGGATGTTGAAGAAGTAAGATCGTGAATGAAGTCTGATAAAAATTATGTAATAAATTATGCAAATTAGAAAATAAATCTAAATACATTTTTTATAAAATTTACTGTTGTTTTCTTTACATATTCATTATCAACATATAAAAAATTTAGTTTTAAATTTTAAATTAAAGTATGTTCCAAAAGAACACGCTTAAAATATAATTACGACGGATTGTCAATGTATCTAATAAGTTGAAGAAGGTATGCGATGAAAGAATGACATCCTCCATCGTTGACTTCTGGGATTTCGCGCTGAATTTTGTCTCCTAGTAACAGGATTACAGAAAATACGAGGAGGTTACAGATCACGAATGACGTGTGGTGGAAAAACGTGCCACCAACTCCAATTATGTGCTCCCGATGCTGGATGCACCGCAACTAATAGGAGCGCAAAACAGAGATGGGACATAGGACGGGTTTTCCCGCGCATGCGCGAGTTTTGCAGGGACGTGACTATGTGGTGGTGCAACTACGGACTAGGCCCTAGTTACTAGGGGGCGTAGTGTTACCAGCGGGAAAAGAGCATAAACATTATTTTGGTAAGCTACTAAATAAGTTATATTTAAATACAAAATAGCGTCTAATATTGATGAAGGAGCGATTAAAATTATGCAGGGTGATTAAGGTACCCCATTTTATTAAAACTTGTACTATACTGATGCTAAAATCGCTACACATGCGCGAGATAACCCGTCCCATAATCCATCTCTGCCCCAACTTCCCGCCTTTTTTCAAACACGGCATCTGGGGTGATCCTGAATAACTTTTTCTTTTGATGAAATGAATGCTCGTTGGACTAGGTAGATTATTTTATTGCAAAATAAAGTTTCACAAAATGATATTAACATTATAAATTTAGTTTGGTGTTAAAAAAATCTCTGTTGAGGTAAATAATGCGTAAGATATTTAGATAATTGTTAAAACATAACAGTATAAAAAGACATTTTTTTAAAATTTACAACATAAAAATAATCAATAGAATGCCTCAAATGTTTAATATAACTTAACGTAAGTATAAAAAATTAATATTAAATAATATTTTTGTTAATTTGATCGTTTGATTGTTGAAATCGAATACACATGTGTGCCCACTAAAATAAATGTTCAGAGAAATCGAAGTGTGCTATAAATATAATGTACAAATTTATTAAAAGTTTTATACGAGTAAGCATACAGTACATTCACTGAATAAATTTACAGTTAATGAAGTACTTCAAATAATTAGAATAAAAACGTTAATTTTTTATTAAGTTAAGCATTTTACTTTCATTAATGTTCCCCCAAAAAAGAAATATTGCCGATATAATTTAACATTCTAATTTTTGGATTTCAAGGCCGGTTACAAGGAAACTACCCAGACATAATTATCATTAATCAATCGAACAATCCCTACCATTTACAAATTTATTCTAATTAATTCAGTTTAGTACGAAACTCGATTATAGATGCTTCTCTAAAAATAAAAAAATAAACAGTAACCATTTTTATGTCTAATAAAAACGCTGATAACAAGTACGAATTAAACATTAATATTAATTTGTTTGTAACATTTGTTCATATTTGTACAAATATATTACAATTAAAATTATGATCATATGCATTATGCATATAGATATCATATAGATCTCAATTTGTTCGTTGAAAGAAACAGAACTTTCGTATACCCAGTGAAAAATAACATTTTAGCAAATATTTTCGTTCCCCTAATTCAGTGAAAAATTCTCTCAATTACAATTATACCAAGACCTCATTGTTAAACTCTGAATCCTAAAAAAAGACTATCAATTAGATTCGTTTAATGTTTGCACTGATATGAATGTTTCCTTGTTGCACGCTAGGATCTTAGGAACTCGGTTTAATGTTTTGCACCTAACACTCTCATCTAAAATCCTAGCTAAAAGTGTTCCTTCGTTATGCAACAAGCTCGAAGAGCACTTATATGTCTCTTAAATTCTTTAAGGAACAAGTGTACCATTGGTCTTATAAGGTCCAAATTAATTTACTATATTAATGATCATCTTTCATCGTACCAGCGAAACAAACTGATAGTGAAAGTTTTTAAGGGCATAGTCAGCTTTTCAGCACCACCATTTCAATATGAATTTCGGGCACTTGTGATAAGTTCAGTATCTGTGCTGGTAAGCTAGGAATTAATCTACATTTACGTCGAGACACTACACAGTTAGTGCTACGACACGTGTCACAATTTTAATTGATATGCCGTAAGCGGATCGAACTCCTTTTGATGACTAGAATTCGACGCCATTACGTATCCCCATAGGCGCATAGCAGCTGCGCAAACCCTTTGTATCTCGTCGACTTCCTCAAAATCAAGATCCGTACGCCAATGAAAGGGGGCTACCTTTGAATTTCTAAAGGTACTAGACACCCCACCGACGTCGTTTTTTGTATGAGTGTCCAAAAATTTTTTTACATTAATATGAAAATCTAAACCATAAAAATTGTACAGTTCCTTCACGTGTTTGTAGGGATCGACGGATAAATCCTCGTAACGTACCACCCTGTTGAAATATTACATTTGAGTAATTTCATTTAATCGAAGGAGAATAAATAAAGATCAATTATAAAAGAAGATACCTAAAAGTATGTGGATATTTTTTTATTAACCGCACGGCAGCACTGAAATCTGAGACCATGTCAGCACATACTAACGCTGGATCCGAGCAATCCGGGTTAGTGGGACACCATTCCCGATGTTTCCTTGATTGTAAAATTCCTCTTGGATCACGGATCAATAGAACTAATCGTACTCCTAAACTGCAAGCATACAAACGATTAATTTTCTGTACACGGATTGTTTAACAGAAAAATGAAAATATATATTTACTCTTCTTGCTTGAGAAGCTTTTCCGCGGCTCTTAGTCTCAAGCGAACGATCTTCATTGATTGAAAAGGAAACAGTTTGCAAAATTTCGAAACGAAACGTGGATCCCAACAGATCTTTTTATGTATTTGACACTGCTTCCATAAACGATTATTGTGATTAAAGACCCAGGAATGTGTTTTACCATAATCCAAATAACGATCTAGAAACATAACAAATTAATGATCAGAAGTTTGATTAAATATTGATAATCATGTTTGTAGCAAAATGAAATTACCAAGATTAAAGTAATCGCATCTTAGCAGAGACTCAAGGTTTTTAAGGGCTTTGTCAGCGAGCGGTGGACCTCTGATTTGTACAATTCCAAAATCAAGCAGAGGTTCGTAATGATAAAAATTTGCTGGATGTGCGTTTACGACATCGCCAAGGAATGTACTTCCGCTTCGCCAGCTTGTCAGAATTATGCTTCTCATTGGTCTTCCTCCTTTTTCTAACACTAAATCCTCCAATTTACTGTAAAATTAATTACGTTATATACACGTATATTAATATTTTCAATGTAAGAATCAACAAACCTAACATTCACTCCGTATTTTCCATTTGGATATTTATAATCTTCCATCTCATTTTCAATCGCATTCCTCTGTTGATCCACAACTTCTTGTATTTCAGACAGTGTGATATTTTCTATGGATCCTCTAAAATATGCCTATAAAACAATCATACAATTAACGTGTAATATTCATCTATTTTATGGTTCAATTTTGTATAATACAAGCAAAAGCAATAGCAATTTTTTATTATGTTTGTTCCCATTGCCATAATAAATGTGTTAATTGTTCAGTAGAAACAGAAGAAAACAAATATTCACTTACCTACAATATACTTTTACTTAAATTAAAATTTAAAAAAAAAATTGTTGAATAAATTTCATCTGACTTATATTTATTTAATCAAATAAATATACGTGACATTTATATGTATACATGCACATATTGCTTACCGTTACTGGATCTTGAATTCTGATGATATGGGGCCTTATCTCAACATCCTATATTCAAGAAAATATCGGTATTTTAACATTCTGAAGGTGCACATTATATTGTGAACACGATAATGCTGCTGATGTAACCAGGACAATATCTTTCTCCCTCTTTCTTTATGTAGGTAATGAATTAGTGTCCAGTATGTGCAATAGTGCAAATAAACTTATATGTGTGGATGAAGGAAATGAAAAGTAAGGAGGTTTTGGTTGGTACTGGATTTAATATACAGAATAAACAATGACACAAATAAATATAGAAAGCTGTATCATAAATACAATAAATTTCTTCGTTCAAATGTGAATTACCATAAAGTGATTGCAATTCTGTGACCATGATAATTATAAAATCCTCTTAACATAATGTCAAATTACCCAAATAATCCTCCAAAATTAAGCAGAATGCTTTCCACAATCTTCGCTAACTGTTGTCTCTAATGCTGCGTGAAAAACAATGGAAAGGAATAGGTGGAAACAGGGAGAAAGAGAGCTGGTAGTATTTTGCATAGCTCGATAGTTTGTTGTTAGTGTACAAGTGGAAAAAAGTTAGGTGCAAAAGTTAGACTTTACCATCAGAAAGAGCGTGTTTGGCGTGACTCAATTTAGAGCAATCCCCACCTCCGATTTTTTACTGACCGATATCACCGGCTGCAGTCGATGCTCGAGATAGCTGCTGTAGCGTTGATTAAATGCTAAGAAGAAGATGCAAAGGGACGCCAGGCCTACCAGACCATAGAAGCTGAGCCGTTTTGACATCCTTGGTTCTATATAAATAAAAATATTGATAAACAGTGATAAAATAATAATCATAGTACTATTTCCTGTATTGATAAATATACAAACTATATATATAATACAAATGTTCTGTTTTATTCTCAGAAAAGAAAGAACAATACAAAATAAAGTCATCAACTTAATATTTTATTTATATAATTACTGACATGATTAGATATTTATAATAATCTAAGTACAGAAACATTGAAATAAACTGCTGATCATTTGAATAATTTAATATACCGAACGAAGTTTACTCGTCGGAAATAGTACTGGATATACGAACACGACAACGTAACATTAAAGATCTCCCTTACCTCAGGATCGAATAATTCATTACATCTGAAGAATTTCAGGTGTAAGTAACAGGCTTATCGAAAACCTCACGTTTTTCTTGGTATTCTAATGTGACAGCGGAAAGCGTACAACCAACGTGAAGCATTCATCGTGATCTACTGACGCAGGATGGCCCGTATTGCGGTTAAGCTATCCACACCAGCCATATATTTGTACATGGATTCATATACTTATACAAGTATATAATATCTATTACAGATGCAATTCCCAAATCACGAGTCAACATACGTACATACAAGGCCGAAAGTTCTAATACTTGTGTCAAGTCATTTTATTAGCCTAAGAAACATGTGAAGCAGCTGAGATCAAAATTTCCGCTTTTTCGTGTAAAATAGTGACTTCATGCTAAGTCGACGATAGTATTCTGGTACATTGATTTATTTAAATAAACTGTATTTAAATTTATAAATAAAAACTTAAGCCCCTAACTTTTAAAAAGGATTATACAGTTTGTGCATAGTATTTCAGAAATAAAAATTAAAGTAACAAAACATTCGATACATTTATTTCAAATGCTGTATATATTTAAATTATGATTCCTAGAATGCACGCAAGTATAAAAATTGTACAAAATTTTCTTTATTTTCAATTTTATCCGCGATCGATAAAAGGAGCCGAATTTAGTAGGAATCCTCTTTATCATCGGAGATAGAAGAAACTGCAAAGATGGCGCCACCGCTCGTTGTGGGCAATTGGATGCTGTTGCTTGAGCGGTGCAGTTTTGCTGGTTTGAGGGGGAGGTATTTCAGTGCACGCTCTCGTCCCTTTCTCTTTAACTCGATGTCACGCTCTTCACTCGGATTTTAAAGTTGCATCGTTTAGTACCGGGCCGCGTACGACGTCCGTATCTGTCCATCTCTATATGCTGTCGTGTCTCTCCCTCACGGAGCGGGTTGAAAACTCGACGGCTTTGGAGGGTATATTCTCGAAGTGGAAACACCTCGTGATCAGATACGTGAATTCGCACGAGTTTCGTTACCCGGCCAGAAAACGTCTGCCGGTGAAAGATACTTGGAACTCGAGCGTGCATCACGATGAACCTCATACCGTGGATTTTTTGACTGGCCGTGATCGGGTTATTCAGTGGTGCAAGTGCAACGGAGGAGGCTCGTTTACGGGATCGAAAAATCGTGTACGACATTTTTCTGAAATTCTCAGCCACCGAAATGTCACGCTGAAAGTGTACACGGTGAGTTCTCTATAATTTTAATTGGAATTTTAGCGGTACATCAGCCAACACTGGTTTGTCTGCTTCCTCTTTTTTTTTTTTCTTTTCTTGAACGTTTTCATGAGAATCGTTTGAGACTTTGTTTATACCGGCTGAAACAGGGCTACTAAATTATATACGCATATGCAACGACCATACCGGCGGCCTACATACGGGGTTGAATATGGTTAGCATTTTATTTGCGAGTTTCTTTTCTGTTAAATATTAAATGTACCTTGCTGGTTAAAGATTTAGAGGCTACCGCAAATAGAGTGTTCTGTAATTTACAGTGATGAATACGGGAGATAATTAATCCCTTGAGAATCTGAAAATTGAACTGGCCATTCGCTAAAATGGCAACCAAAATAATTTTTTAAGCAGCTTGAAATATTAAACTATCAATGGTATTTAATTTATTATTCTGATCGAATTATCGTGAACAATTAAGCGTATGTTTCGTTCGATAGCACAATTGTTCGATTATCGAGATGTAACGATCACTGTATAATATATCGAACAATTTGCTTAAGTAATTAAAGTCGCAATGTCCAAGAGCTGACTCAATGATGGTTTACAAGAATTAATTATAATATACATCATTGCGTTCAAGATTTATATATGTTTCTCTTGGTCAAAACATTTTCAAAAATATTCGTACAGAAATCGATATCGACCGACAACTTCATTCCGTTCGATTTTTCGAAACTCGATTTCGAAACGCAGTTGTTTTTAAAGCAATTTCCCCATCACGAGAAAGAAAAGAAAAATGTGATTATCGAGTCTACGGATGTCCGCGTTACTTCCTTTTTTTCCATCAATTGGGATTTCCCCATCACGAGAAAGAAAAGAAAAATGTGATTATCAAGTCTACGGATGTCCGCGTTACTTCCTTTTTCTCCATCAATTGGGATTTCCCCAATATTTTCCCGGAAGTGAAGAAATTATTCGCGCGAAATTTAACTAGAGGTCGGCCATTTTTGAAATTTAAACGGCAGGGTTGAAAATGTACCGTGAAATTCGTGCAACTGTGTCGAACGACGAGTGGAAAAGAGAATAGATGATAATTGTTCGATTAGTCGCGTTTAAAGTAGATAGAAATCTATTTCTCTAACCTAAAATGAAATAACAATCGTATTTGTTCGTGCATTGAATACTTAGGTTAGATGAGATGTTATATAAAAATTTATTTGCAAGCAGCAAAGATATCCTCCATTTTCGAATAAATATTTTTATCCTTCTTTCATCGCACGATATGCAAAATTAAATAAGAGTAGAGTTTTATGCATGCGATGGCCTGGACGTAATACTCGACGTGACAAGAATGCGAAGGAAGGAGGGTCATATTAGTAATATTTATCCTCGATAAAGGGCTAAATAAAACCGCGTTAATATTCGTTTTCAGAATTAAAATATTTATTTTTAATATTGATAAAGAAAAATATTGAAAGTGAAAGCCCGCGAATTTTGAATGTGGCCAATAGTAACCTCAAAATATTTCGAACTCGTGACTCAGCAAATAAATATCCCGCTGATTTCTATACCAAAATAGTGCAGAAAAAAAAAGAATAGAGGCAACTATGAATTATTTATAGCCGGATGTCGGTGTACGAACCGAGCTATTCAATTCAGAACACAAATTACCGTCCAGGAAAAAGAAGTCACAATCGAAAACGAAGTTTCGCTACGAGTTACGCCATACTTTTGTCTAATTTTTCTGCTAGAGAGCGGGGCTACTTAGCCGAGGGAAATGATACTAACTTTTACACGAAACACGCACGGAACGTTCATGATTTAGGGAGGTTAATCGTTCTCGACAGGCGAACTCGCCTAAGTTTCGTTAGCTTCCTGGGGAGCATTAGTGAATGAACTGTAGAAAAATAGTCAGTCAGGAAGTTTGCGTGCAACCGCGTCGCTTCATTAAATACGTTCTAGGGATATGGACGAACTATAATCGATAGAGGGTGCAAGCGTCTCTTGATCCATATTACGGTTAGCGCGTCAGACGGACAAGGAATAAAAACCATTATATTTTGTAGGTTATAATTATTTATCGACACGTGATCAATTGTTAAACACGATCTATAAGAGAATAGTTCCGTTATGCCTGTTAGATTTCCCTCGTAGGTAATTAATTGTGACTCAGCATAGTACGCAATTCTAGCCGTGATCTGTTATTGATATTCCGCGGCGTGGGGAATTATTACTTTCATCTCTCTCTCTCTCTCCCTCTTTCGTGAAACGAACCGACTCTATCCACCGGATTAACCGGCCAACGAACGACTTGTGGTATAAATTTCAACGCTTCCCGCTTATCTTCGACTGTTTCCTTAAGACATGCAAATTCTTACTTGAATAGTTGCGGTCTCTGATATAGTAACAGGAAGTGTAACCAGGGCGAGATCTTGCGTGTCTGTCATCGAGTCATCGATCAGGGGCCATCAGGTTTGATAACCTGCAAGATGAGTCCTATCAATTTTTAAACATTCCTGCAGGGTCTCGTGTGCTCTAGCACACTGTATGATATTCTCTAGGGAAAATGGTGATATAGGGGAAGTAGGAATTCTCCAAATATCAATTTTGACGATATTGTGATTAAAAGTAATTTAGGGCCAGACTCTTATACATGGGAGCCCCTTCTCTTTGGGAATGCCCAAAAGGAAAGACGGGAACCATTTTTCCTGGGGAATCCTAGGGAATAGGATAGGGGCGGATTGGGACTTAAATTTTTATCGGAAGATTACCAACATGATCCACCATCTTATCTAGGAAGCGCGTGACCTTACACGCAACAAAATGGCCGCGTGTTAAGACCTAACTTAACAGTTAGATTAAACTCCCAATGGAATCGGTGTAATATATCGTTCTTTCATTCGACGTGGTACAAATTGTTGTCATTTTTTACAACCGCATCGACGGCTGGTCGTATAAATTCTTAAAGAAGATCAAATCGTTACGCTAGTCACGAACGTTGCGCGTACTATTACGCGATGTCATGACAAGCGTTATTTCTTTTTTCATCTAGAAAATATCTAAAGCGTTTATTTCGAATGAAATTGAAACGTAGGGACGGTGTAACGAAATACTTGGCCCCTTGTTACCAGGGCCATGTGGTCGCCAGGAAAGCCGGTAAATTGTGCAAGCACGTAAACACGTAATTTACGTAAACGACCCCCGGCCGCATAGGGAAAGATCGTTTCTCGGTTAAAAAGAGTTAAAATATCGCCAGACTGTGGTCAGCCATAATACAACACGTGCGTGCCATACGGTGCCCGAAATTCGACGCGACGCTTAGCGGCTAAAGTGGATTGTTCCCAGGCTACTTTCGTCTCCCTTTGGAAATATGTCCAATGGCAAAATTGATTATTTCTTCCTCGACGAGCTTCTGACAGAAATACTGTCCGAAGGATTAATCTCGGTAAAATTAACATACACGATTAACAACATCATAAAATTGATGAGATCGAAACGATGGACTCTTACAGACTGCTTCGTTACAGAAAGCAATCAGTATTCAAAGATGAATGAGAATCTTGATAAGATCAGTGGAGGAGATTTTCCCACTAAAATTTCGTTCGTTAATAAATCCTCGCGTCATTAATTACTGTACAAGCGCATTTCAGTTTCCGATACATCCAGCCCGACGTTAATTATCAAACGGATACGTAAAACAGGGCCGTCCTAGATTACCGAGTGCCTGAAATAATCAGTACTCGATGAAACAAGGGAGGAAGCGCGAGAAACTTGATAGGATCCCCGAGGAATCCTTCAAACAAAGTTTCTATTGGCTACAGATATCCGCGGTGCCCTAGCCAAGGTTATGAGCAGCAATTTTTAAAGCTCCAATTACTTAAACCGATCGGAAGAGAAACTCGATCGAGTCTTCGGAGGATCCTCCAAGCAAGGAAGATTTGTAAATATTCAGTTACATAATCGGACAGGTACTCGAAGAATCAAGATGAAAGCGAGAGAGCTGTTTCTTTGGTGCTGATTTTCTAATTATCGAGCGACTGGGAGCTGAGGTATACTTAGTATGAAGTTCCATTGTGTATGGGGGTTTACTGCATACAAGGCTCTAAACCTGGGTAGGCCTGCTGTATACAAGGCTCTACTATGTCCAGGGACTACTGTACACAGGACCCAACTAAAC